GGCGACAGAGTGAGACTCCAACTCAAAAAAAAAAAAAAAATCAAAAAATTAGCTAGACGTGGTGGTGCAAGCCTGTAGTTCCAGGGACTTGGAAGGCTGAGGTTGAAGGATTGCCTGAGCCTAGAGGGTCAAGGCTGCAGTGGCTGTAAGCATGCTACCGTTCTCCAGTCTGGGTGACAGAGTGAGATTCCAACTCTAAACAAACAAATAAATAAATAAAGAAATTACAAGCTAGTTGGCTAGGCATAGTGGCTCACATCTGCAATCCCTGTACTTCGGGAGGCCAACGTGGGAGGATCTCTTGAGGCCAGGAGTTCAAGACCAGCCTGGGCGACATAGCAAGACACCATCTCACAAAAAAAGGAGGAAACAAAAAACATTCCTGTGCTCCTCTGGCCAAGGCACAAAACAGGCCCATGGTTTGTAGATGTGAATCACAGAGGTTCCATTTCTGATCTGCCAACACCACACTAAGCAGCCTCTGGAAAGGGATGGCCTAGGTCCTCTTTCTTCAGCCTCCCTATCTGCTAAATGGGCCATTCAGTCGTCCTTGCTCTATTCAGTGAGGAAGCATGTAGAGTGTGACGAATAAGGGAGCCCTCCTGAGACCCACAGGGTGACCATTCCAGTTTGCCCAGGATACTCCCAGTTTTAGCATTGGAAGCTTCATGTCCTAGGCAAACCGGGGCAGTGGGTCACCCTACTTGAGAGTGATTATTATTATTATGATGTGATTCAGAGTCTCATTCTGTCGCCCATGCTGGAGTGCAGTGGCATGGTCACGGTTCACCGCACCCTCGACCTCTTGGGTTCAGGCGATCCTTCCACTTCAGTCTCCCAAGTAGGTGGAACTATAAGCGTGCATCATCAAAACACCACTCATTTTTTTTGTAGAGATAATGTCTAGCTATGTTGCCTAGGCTGGTCTCGAACTCCTGGCTTACAAAATTCTCCTGCCTCGGCCTCCCAAAGTGCTGGGATTATAGGTGTAAGACATTGCACCCAGCCAAGTGTCTGTTAAAAATAATAATGCGGCTGGGCACAGTGGCTTAGTCTATAATCCCAGCACTTTGGGAGGCTGAGGTGAGTGGATTGCCTGAGCCTGCAGGTTCGAGACCAGCCTGGGCAACTTGGCAAGACCTCATCTCTACAATAAATTTTTTAAAAAATGAGCTGGGCATGGTGGTGCACTCCTGTGGTTCCGGCTACTTGGAAGGCTGAGGCAGAAGGATCGCCTGAGCACAGCAGGTTGAGGCTGCAGTGGCTGTGAGTGTGCCACTGCACTCCAGCCTGGGTGACACAGTGAGACTCCAACTCAAAAAACTAAAAAAAGTAAAATAAAATAACGCAATCGGGCTTAGTGGCTCAGCCTGTAATCCCAGCACTTTGGGAGGCCAAGACGAGCGGATCGCCTGAGCCTGCAGGTTCAAGACCATCCTGGGCAACTTGGCGAGACTTTGTCTCTACAATAAATAAAAAAATTAGCCAGGCGTGGTAGCAAGTGGCCTGTAGTTCCAGGTACTTGGAAAGCTGGGGCAAAAGGATCGCCAGAGCCCAGCAGGTCGACACTGGGGTGGCCATGAGTGTGACACTGCACTCCATCCTGGGTAACAGAGTGAGAATCCAACTCAAATAATAATAATGATAATAATATAATAATAATAATAACACAAGCACTAAGGGGAAGGCGGGCATAGCACACGAAGGTTTATACTTGTACCTGATGATTTTGTACATGACCGGGTTGGTGAAGAAAGGCTCGTCCAGCTCGTTGTGGCCCCACTGCCTGTAGCACAGCAAATCAGTGATCACATCCTTGCGGAATTGGCGCTGGTATTCAAAAGCCAGTCGTGTGGCACGGATCACTTCCTCTGGGCTGTCTCCGTTGACATGGATGATGGCACAGCCCACAAGCTTCCCTGAAGCAGGGAAGACGGAGGAGAAGCAGGACAGTTAGCCCGGAAAGGCATCAGCCCTCCTCCAAGTCCCACTGAATGGGAAGACTGCCCAGACCTTACAGGAAGACACTGACTTGGTAAGAACCCAAGCTCTGGAGTCTAGTCAGCAAGTTCCAGCCGTGACTTACTCTGTGACCTTGGTAAAGGTATGAATCTCAGGCTACGTATCTATAACTGGGGTAACAGCTCCTACCTCTTGGTGCCTGGAACATAATAGCTAATGTTTATTTTGATATTTTATTATCACTGCTCCCTTTCTTCCTGAGATGAAAAGATCATTAAAGAATGGACATTCTTTAGAATATGAACACTGTTTAAAACAACCTAGAAAAAGATTAATGTTCTCCAAAGAGAAGTTCTAGAATTGGCTTTCCGTATCCACATCAGACTAATCACAAAGAATTCACAGAGGAGACCCCAGGAGGCATCCAGCCCAGCCTGCTGGTATAAAGAATGAACAGTTTCTGTACCTAACAGCTCCAGCAACTCTGTGAAACAGGGAGAGAGTAATAAAAGCCCTGCCTCTCTCAAGACTGCCAATTTCCACAAGTTAAAACAAGTTGACTTTGATTCTTCATATTTTTTTTCTTCTTTTCTCTTTTTGAGTTGGGGGTCTCACTGTTGCCCAGGCTGGGGTGCAGTGGCACGCTCACAGCCACTGCAGCCTCGACCTGCTGGGCTCAGGTGATCCTTCCGCCTCAGTTTTCCAAGTAGCTGGATCCACAGGCATGTGCCACCATGCCTAGCTAATGTTTTTATTTATTGTAGAGACGAGGTCTCGGCATGTTGCTCAGGCTGGTTTCGAAACCCTGGGCTCAGGCAGTTCTCTCACCTCTGTCTCCCAAAGGGCTGGGATTACAAGTATGAGCCACTGCGTCCGGCCTCACGTTTTGTTGCTGACTAGATTATTTTGCCCAGTGGAGTGGTTGAACTTGCCCCCCTTTTTTTTTTTTGAGTCCAGATTCTCACTCTGTGCCCAGGCTGGAGTTCAGTGGCACATACACGGCCACCACACCCTCTACCTACTGGACTGAGGTGATCCTTCTGCCTCAGCCTTTCAAGTAGCTGAAACCACAAGCATGTACCACCACACCTGGCTAGGTGACCTTGGTAAAGGTTTGTTTGTTTTTTGTTTGTTTGTTTGTTTTTGTTTTTGCTTTTTTGAGTTAGAGTCTCATTCTGTCGCCCAGACTGGAGTGCAGTGGCCACTCCCGGCCACCGCAGCCTCG